TTATATTTTATATTTTGGTTTTTTGAGACAGGATCTTGCTATGAGGCTGGCCTTGCATTTACTATGTAGCCCAGGATGGCCTCAAACTCACAGCAATCCTCCTGCCTCAGCCTCCCAAGTGCTAGGATTACAGGTGTATGCCACCACACCTGGCCCAGTTTTCTCAATTTTAAATAAGGATATTCATTGCCCTTAAAATAAGGATACTCATTGCCCTATTTCAGGGATTTTGTAAAGGGTTTAAAGAAATGATAGATAACCAAACACTTTGGAAAAGCACAGAAGTGGGCCAGGGATTTAGCTCAGTGGTTCTACTGCCTGCCTTGCAAGCCAAGGTCCTGAGTTCATTCCCCGGTACCAAAAAACACAAAAAACAAAAAAACCCCACAGAAGTGCTATATAAAGACAACTTGCTTTTTTAAATTGTATTTGTTTTACCTCTAACAGAGAAACAGTCTTGCTGTGGTTTTCTTTGTAGAAGCTGTTGTTTAACATGTTGATCAACTTCAGTTTCTTCACATTCAGCCCTAGTGTATTGGGCAGGAGAAGGGGGCAAAGTTGTAGTTTGGGGCTGACTGAATATAGTTCCCATAGACTTGCACTGGGAATCTCTGTGCTCTTCCAAACAACCAGCAGGCTTCTTCTCCCTGGACTTTTTTATCAGGGTTACCCGGTCTCTAATGGATTTAGCAACAGCTTTGGAATCACTTTCATGAAAGAATCCAGACTTGACCTACAAACAAAACATAATAAGCAAGCTAACATTTAAGATTTTAGCCTTTTTTCCCACTACTAACATTATTTTATGTCCAAAATTCCAAATGCTATAATCAAAGACATACATATATACAAGAGCCTTTAATTGACATAAGAAAATTATTAGTATTACCAAGCATCACTGAACTACTTCAGGCTTTAAACAAAAATTAACAAAACCTGATGTTTCAGTATGGTACATGTAGCCTTATTACAGGTAATTTATGACTGCCATTAAGTTTTGTGAAAGATTAAAGGAGTTTCATCATTCCACAGGATTAAGTGTCTGTAATGTGTCCAGTACTGAGCATCAGAGAGATGCATGTGACTAGGTTAATCATTTGTCCTGTATGAGCGCAAAATCTGGGAGTGTGAGATGGATACGAACTGAAAATGAAATGAGGTAGAAATAAGACGCTGAAAAAGCCCTAAAGAAGGGGCACGTGCCTCTCTGGCAGAAACAGAGAAAGTAAATTCAGACCTGGGTTAAAGCCAAAAGAGGAATGAGCAGGCTATTAAGGAAAGCACAAATAAAGTCTGGAATGGAGATCAACATTCTGGGCAGAGGGAAATAATTACCACAGCAAAGTATTATATCTTACTAGGCATTAGAAGAATGAGAAAAGAGGAAAGGGCCCTGCCTTGTTGTCTCAGGAATAGGGCTAAGAGGCAGAGAAGATGCTTGAGGAGGTACAATGGCATATCATTCTCAGTCCTACAGTCTGCTTTTTAAAGTATATCTTGGAGCCAGGCATGGTGACGCATCCCTGTAATCCCACCACTCAGGAGGCTGAGGCAGGAGGACTGTTTTGAGTTCAAGGCCAGCCTGGACTACACAGTGAATTCAAGGCCAGCTTGAACTATATAGTAAGATCCTGTCTTTAAAAAGAGCATAACTTGGGGTTCTGCAGACTTTTGGAAATTTTATGGTAGTTGAAAAATGATTAAAATGCTAGACGAAACACTCATGTCTAATTTTGCTCCCTCTCAAAGCTTCAAAAAACAGAACACCCCATAGTAAGTGGGTTTTAAAATTATAAACCCACAATAACAGGGAGAGTAAGAGAAAGATAAGACATGTTTCACAGCTTGGAATATAGAAAACAAACAGACAAAAGCAAGCTAGCAGATCTGGGAAAAGTGAACTATAGAAAACTAAGAATCATTCCCATTTATACTTAAGAATACTTAAAAAGCTCAGGAACTGGCAGCACTAAGTACTTCCACAACTGAGGGTAAAGTCAAAAGAGATGGCCAAAATATGGAACACTAGAGTTCTGAAAAACAGTTATATAGTTCCTATACCCTTCTCTCCATTCTACACCTTTGCATGACTGCTTCTCTCTTCCCCCAAAATCCAGTTTTCTTCTCTGGGAAGGGTAAAAGAGAGTATCACTGGACTGTAGAACACAAAGCACAATTGAGGATATGGCTACCAGGTCAAAAACAAAACTATTACACAGTCATATGCAGCTGCACGTCTAATTCAGGAACACTCCTCTACCTTGTTTGGCTAACAAAATGGTAATCAGACCCTTACCATCCAGGAAGGATACTGAAAGATGCTTCTCTGAAGAATCTGATCAACCTAAGATGAACGACTTATAAATGCCTTTAAAGATGCCCCAGTTAATGGTCTACCCAAATACCCTACCACAGTCAAAGTTAACAAGTCCTACCTAAGCAATCATACTACCATCTAGTCAGCTTATTTGTCCTTGTAGTCGAGAAAATTATGGCCCCCCTCAAGGATGTCCCCTCTTAATCTCCAAACCTGTGCATATGGTACATATGGTAAAAAATTACCAATATGGTGAGAAACATTGTGTTTGCTATATAAGGCACAGTTGACCTTAAGCTAGGGAGACTATCTGGGTGAAGCTTTAGCCAACAGATGACTCGAGAAGGACTCAATATGACATCGTTGGCTTTCAAAATGGACTAGGAGGTAAATGAAAGAACTGAAAAACAGATTCTAGATGCTGAAAGCAGTCTCCAGCTAACAACCTGGAAGAAAACAGGGACCTCAATCTTACAACTACATGAAATTGAATTTTGTCAACCACTTGGATGAGCCCCAAATCAGATTCTACCCTAGAACTTCAGATAAGAATCAGGCTAGATATTGCCTTGATTTTAGCTTAGTGAAATCCTAAGCAGAGAATCAACCAAAACCCACCACAACTTTTGACATATATAACTTAGGGAAAATAAATATGTAAGTATTGTTTTAAATTATGAAATTTGTTATGTTACATTAGAAAGCTAATATAACTAATATAATCAAATGGTAGCTATTGTCGGGTGTGGTGGCGCACACCTGTAATCCCAGCACTCGGGAGGCTGAGGCAGGAGGATCACCTCGAGTTCAAGGCCAGCCTGGGCTACATAGTGAGTTTAGGACCAGCCTGAACTACAAAGGGAGACCCTGCCTCAAAAAAAAAGGTAGCAAAACAGTAACTTTACAGAGTGATGTTGCATAAACAAAACAAAAAAGAATAAGTTTACTCTAAAAAAGGAACATAAAAGGGCCGGGGATTTAGCTCAGCAGCACTGCGCCTGCCTGGCAACCCCAAGGTCCTGAGTTCGATCCCTGGTACCAAAAAAAAAGGGCCAGGGATTTAGCTCAGTGGTTTTGTTGCCTGCTGCGCAAGCACAAGGACCCGAGTTCGATCCCCAGTACCAAAAAAAAAACTGTCTTTGGGGCCGGGGATTTAGCTCAGTGGTTCTGCCACCTGCCTTGAAAGTGCGTTCAATCCCCGGTACAAAAAAAAAAAAGAAAAAGGAACATAAAAAATGAAAATGGACTCTTGAAATTCAAAACATGATAGTAAAAATGAAAACCCAATAGAAAAATTAAAAAATAAACTTAATAGTATCTGCCAAAGAGAATTCTAAAAAGATGGAAAACAAAAAAAAGATATGAACATTGGAGAACCAATCCAAGAGGCCCAACATCCAAATAACAGCAGTTCCAGAAAGACAAAATCATCAATTAAATACTTTAAGAAATTTTCCAGTGGCAGGCATGGTTGGTGCACACCTGAAATCCTAGCACTGAGAGAGGAGGACTGCTCCAGGTTTGAGACCAGCCAGGGCTACATAGTGAGTTCAAGGCCACTGTGAACTACAAAGCAAGACTCTGTCTCAAAATGCCAGAAAAAAATCCTAGAAATCAAAGTACATGGTTTGCTGAGGGTGGTGGCGCACACCTATAATCTCAGCAATCCAGAGGCTGAGGCAGGAGGATGCTACAAATTCAAGGCCAGCTTGGGCTACACAGTGAGTTCAAGGCCAGGCTGAACCATATAGTGAGCCCTCTCCTCAAAACACCAAAAAATACGGCCAGGGATTTAACTCAATGGCGCTGCGCCTCCCAAGTGCAAGGTCCTGAGTTCTATCTCCAGTACTGAGAAACAAACAAACAAACAAAAACACACCTAAAAATAAAAAATAAAAATACTAAAGTATATGGTTTAACAATCTGAAAGGGTCCAGACAGTATCTAATATAGTGGACGGAAATAGATCCAAATTGAATTATTTCATTGTAAAACTTTAGATCACTGAGAAGAAAAAGTAGATATTACAATCCTCCAGAGAGGAAAAAATGGGTCACAAACATAACTTTGGACTTTTCAACAGCAATACTAAAAGCTAAAAGAGCATGGAACAATGACTCCAAATTAAAAACAAAAAACCAACTGTCAACACATAAAATGATTTGGCAAGCCAAAATAATCAATTAAGTACAAAGGCCAGCGAGACCTGGGACCTCCAAAGTGCTGAGGAGGCATGGGGGGCGAGGCGCCATTCGGTGAGTGTGGTCCAGAAGAAGCCCGAGTGCCTTGCCTTTTTCTTCCTGGACCGCACTGCGCAGCGCCCTCCCCCACCATGGAAGCCGGCTTAGGCTCCAGGCTCAGATTCCCGGTGTATGTTGTCTGCTACATGCCTGCTGCTGTCTTTCACCCCCTACACAGCCTCTCTGGTCCCACTCCCCAACCCACAGAGGGCAAACGGAGGCCCACAGGGGAAGGCCCCTCCTCACCAGTGTCTCCACACAGACACCATGGCTGAGGACAGCTCTGGGGAGCCCCCTGGGTCAGTGAAGGCAGAACCTGCCCACACTGCTGCCTATGTGGCTGCCTAGAACCTGGCTCTGCTCAAAGCCTGCTCCTTTGATTGACCTTTGATGTGGGGGAGGGGTACATGATCATTGATACCATAGGCAATGGGACCTATGGGGTGGTGTCTTCTGTGCACCTCATCCTCCTGGGCCAACAGGTGGCCATCAAGAAGAGCCCCATTGCTTCTATGTGGTGAACAACGCCAAGCCGACCCTCATGGAGCTGAAGATCCTCAAATACTTCAAGCATGAAAATATCATTGTCATCAAGGACATACTGAGGCCCACTGTACCCTATGGAGAGTTCAAATCTGTCTATGTGGTCTTGGACTTGATGGAGAGTGATCTGCACCAGATCATCCAGTCCTCACAGCGGCTCACACTGGAGCATGTGCCTTACTACCTGTATCAGCTGCTGTGGGGCCTCAAGTACATGCACTCAGCTCAGGTCATCCACCGTGACCTCAAGCCCTCCAACCTGTTGGTGAATGAGAACCATGAGCTAAAGATTGGTGACTTTGGTATGGCCTGTGGCCTGTGTACCTCCCCTGCTGAGCACCAGTACTTCATGACTGAGTATGTGGCTACTCGCTGGTACCGTGTCCCAGAATACTGACCTCTGGTCTGTGGGTTGCATATTTAGTGAAATGCTGGCCCAGTGCCAGCTCTTCCCAAGCAAAAACTATGTGCATCAATTATAACTGATCGTGATGGTGCTGGGTACCCCATTACCAGCTGATTCAGGCTGTAGGGGCTGAAAGAGTGTGGGCCTATATCCAGAGCCTGCTGTCACACCAGCCTGTTCCCTGGGAGAGTGTATCCAGGTGCTGACCACCAGGCCCTTTCACTATTGGGCCATATGCTACGTTTTGAACCAGTGCCCGCATCTCAGCAGCTGCTGCCCTTCATCACCCTTTCCTGACCAAGTATCATGACCCTGATGATGAACCTGATCGTGCCCCACCCTTTGACTTTGCCTTTGACCATGAAGCCTTTACTGGACAGTGCATTAAGGAGAACACTGTGGCTGAGATTAAAGACTTCTATGTATGACGGGAGGGCATCCACCAAGAGATGTTTCCAGCCTTCCCTGCAGCCTGTGGCTAGTGAGCCTGGCTGTCCAGATGTTGAGAAGCCCAGTCCCTGGGCTCCCAGTGAGGACTGTGCCATGAAGTTGCTCCTCCAGGTCTCCCATCATGTGCAGGTCCTGCACCTGATTTGATTTGACTCTTCAGCCACCTCCACCAGTGAGCCTGCCCCACCAAAGAGAGAGGGTGCCATCTCAGACAACACTAAGGCAACTTTCAAAGCCACCCTACTCAAGTCCTTGCGAAGCCAACTGAAGAGATGGCCCTAGTGTATCCCTGGAGGCTCCTGAGCCTCAGAAACCCATGACAGCCCAGGAGTGCCAATGAGAGCAGGAGAAGCACTGGATGTGACAAGAGCAAGCCAAGGAGAGAAGCTGCAACAAGAGAGGGAACATAGGGGCCAGGGATTTAGCTCAGTGGTTTCGCCGCCTGCTGCACAAGCGCAAGGACCTGAGTTTGATCCCCAGTACCAAAAAAAAAAAGTGGGAACATTGGGGTGGGGGTGGAGAGGGGCGGGGCTGGGACCTGGGGGCCCTCCACTAATCAAAGCCTGCTAGAGCACTGGATTTTCATGGTCCAGCAGGAACACAAGGCGGGGATAACCTGGGACGGGGGGGGGGGGCCCGCGGGGGGGCTCTACTAATCCCGACTGGACTGGTTTTTCATGACAATGATCAAAGCCAGCTAGAGCACTGGATTCAAATGGTCTGTTCCACTGGCCCACCTCCAGCTCCAGCCCCAGCTCCAGCCCCAACACCACCAGCCCAGCCCACCAGTCCTCCCCATGGCCCTATAGCCCAGCCCACTGGTCCCCCACCACAATTTGTAAACTCCAATCCTACTCCTGCACCCCAGCCTGCTTGCCTACTCCCT